AAGAAAATATGCATTTCTGCAATAAGTGGGTATTTCAACGAGGACCGAACAAGGGCTTCCTTCCCACTTTTCCTTTGGGAAAATCCAAAATACATAGCCGCATCTTAATGTATTTATTCCTGATGCAAAAACAAAAAACTTACGCCATTCTTGAGTTTTTCTTTAGTTTTGAACACCCTGTTTTTTATATGATTCTGGAAAAGTTGCATCTGAATCTTTTTATGTTGAAAAAATTCGATATTTGGATCTTTATCCCGTCAATCCCTATTAATTTGCCGCCCTTAAAAACTCGGTACAGACGTTAGAAGAGACAACTCAGTCAATAACTCTTCTTGCTTCTCTTGCTTCTCTTGCGTTGAGTATTTCATGGCGGCAAATATCAAAATATGATGTTAAATTTCTTTTGATTTGGGAATAAACTGAAGGTGATAATACCTGTATAACCTGTCTTTGTGACTATATTCACGACAGTACAACTACGTCAGTCATATGTCATAGGTTGAACTTGTGAACTTGTCTTGTCATGAAAATATATCATTGTCATATTGCAGAAGATTTTTTTCCTTGTGGATAATAATAATAATATCGTCTGTGTGTTTTGTCTGGTTATTATTATTAACAATTAGCTATAAACGAATAATTCTAATAGGGAATGTTATCATGTCCTGATTAGTCAGTATTGTTTGTATCAGTTATTAGAAGTATTGTGAAGGTCTAGAAAAAGCGCCTCATGCCCTTATTCCATTTATATAGGGTATATGTATGTACTATTAAGCTTTTATCATCCACTGAATTAATTTAATCAGGTTATCAGGTTATGGGCACAGGACCACAAGGCGGCTATATAAAGCAATGTGGATTATGAGAACTTGCTGATGCAAGTCAGGAAGTCAGTAGATTGTAGATTTCGGGGGAGTCGTTTCGGCTTTTCAGCCGCTCAGCACTGCTACCTTTGCAGATATTTTGTGCGTAACTCTACATCTTAATTTGTCTCCAGGAAGCGTAGACTTCTGCCGAAGGAAGCTATTTTCCTGGGCGTCAGTTGGCCCACTTCTTCTGGTGACAGTGTTGCCCCCTCGAGGAATTTGAGCCTCTTGCAGAATTGGGCTGGACATTCGCAGAGCAGGTGCTCTGCGGTTTCTATTGCGTCTGAGCAGAATCTGCAGAGATCGTCTTCCGCTCTGCCCATTAACCTTAAATGGTATTTTACTGGGCAGTGTCCTGTGAGCAGTCCCACCACCAATCTGATGTCTGGTCTGCTCATGCTTAGGAGCTGTTCAGCTCTTTTTGCTGAAAGGTTAATAAACCTTTTTGACTGTCTGAGTCCCGGTGTGTGCCTCCAATATGATGACAGTTGGTCTTTCTCCCATTTGTTGAGTTCTTCCATGATGTGGCTTTTCATTAAGCCACAGTAGGGCTCTGGTCCATGGTATGGTGTTGAGGCCCCTTCCTTTGCGAGGCCATCTGCCACTTCGTTTCCTTCTATGCGTCGATGACCAGGCAGCCACATCAGCGTTACCTGGTTATATGTCGCTAGTGTTTTTAGGGTCTGTTTACACTCCCAGACTAGTTTTGACGTGCATTTGAAAGCCCTCAAGGCTTTTAAGGCAGCTTGGCTGTCCGATAGTATGAAGATGTGTTTTCTTTTGAGGCTTTGGTTAAGACACTCTTGTGCACATATATCTATGGCAAGCAGTTCGGCTTGAAATATTGTAAGATGTTTACCCAATGCCTTGGAGAGCTTGAAGTTAAGGCCGGAAATGCCCAGTCCAGCTCCTACCATTAGCTTGGATCCATCTGTGTACCACAGAGATGCATTGTCTGCTTGTGGTAGTTCTTTATTCTCCCATGATTGGCGGTCGTTTATTACCACTGCGAAGGGGATCTCTAAGTCCAATCTGACCATCATGTGGTCACTTGGTTTGCTGGCATTCTCCAGTGTTATTAGATCAACGATTTTCAGATGTCCCCTCAGATCGCCAGGCTTGAACTTGTCTATTTGGAATAGCCTGTGAGCGCTGGTTATTGCCTCCTTTTTCACACATAGGTGAAGTGGGGGCATGTTGAGTAGCGTCTCTAGGGCTGCGGTGGGGCAAGTTGACATTGCTCCCGTTATTCCTAGACATATCAGCCTTTGCACCTTTCTTAGCTTAATCTGAGCGGTGACTTGTTGGGTTTTGGGCCACCACACCAGGAAGTCAGTAACAAAGTGAGGAAGTCAGTCGAGAAGTCAGCAAAAACAAAAAAGTCAGAATAATTGGGTTAATTTGTCAATTGAGTATACCTACCTAAAATTCGCAGATATTTGAATTGATCATTATATGATTACTTAACAAAACTTTGATTAGATTGTGACTTATTGTGAAATTACCTAATCAATTAATATTATGTAGGTATATAAGGTGGGACCTATAGGTAACTAAATCTCATTTGGAAACTTGATCTGAAGACTCGAAAGGACATGTAATTAATTGGAAACTACGTTTCTTAGAAATTCACATTTGAATTTAATTTTGAAATCGAAAATTATTTTTCGTAGCTACAGGTATTATAATAAAGCCACATGGATCAGACAGTGACAATGCAGTGAAGGCGTGGATTAAGCAGAATTTTGAAGCACAAGTCTTAATTGGCTTGGGATGTAGGCAGTAATATAATAATAAAACTTGCAAATTGTAATTGATCTTATCATATGCTAAATAGACAGGATATTTTGAATGGCAAAGAGTCAGTACCTACTTATTGAAGGTTTACAAAGTCAGTCTAAGGAGTCAGTGATTGAAAATTGTATGACACTTCAACAATTTGCTGAAGATTTGGAAGCCAGAAGAGAACAGGTCAGAGAAAGTGGAATTATGACTAAAAAATTTTAGAACTGCGTGTTAGTAGTAGTGTTAGTAGGGCAAATGAAAATTTGAAAAAATTGTTTGAACTTCTCAGGTTAGAAGAGGACAGACTGAAAAAAAGTCAGCAAATGAATCAAATGGTGTCTTTAAATGATTTTGTTCCACAACATAATCGCAAATTTGGAAAGTCACATGCTGGAGCAAGTTCTCAAGGAAATTCAGTTGAATAATGTTTCAAATGTAGTAAGAAAGGTAATGATAAAGAAAATGCACCATATATATTACCAAATAGTTAATTTACTTATTGTAAGGAAAATTATGCCTACATATCATAATAATTGTATAGTATTTCCAAGGTACCAACTGCCCCAACTGGTGGCTGACTGGTCACTGAAAATTTCCATAAGAAATACACTGCCACTAGTCAGCCACCAGTTAAACTCTGAACAAAATGTAATAATTGTGATATCATTGCAAGATTGCGCTGGTTAACAAACTTTGTTGAACTTGAAGTAGGTATAGTCCAACAAATACCATTTTAAAGTCACGTGATTTTTCTCTATCCTTGTTGAATACATCTCAAACAGCGGTGATAGTAAAATTGACAAAAAAATTGCTGTCTAATTATTGTTCATAATATTCTTACCTGAAATAGAATCCGTCACTGTCATCAATTAGTTTGTCAAAGTTATTTTAGAAAATAATACAACGAACAAACACAGCTAATAATTTTGACTATATTAACCTTTTTCCAACTCGAAAAGAAGCAAATAGAAAACGGGGTACTCAGTTTAAGTTCAGAATGTATTACAACAGACAGCAGATGCGACAAAAGTGAGTCTCGCAACAATTGCAAGTATTAAAATTGCCCTCTGATTGGTCAATACTACTTCAGAAACGCGTTTGTAAAATGCTAGTGGGAACATATATTAAAATTCAATAGTAATTAACCACCAGTAGCTTTTTGTAGGTGATATCAACGACATAATCAATGGACATACGTTTTTTGCCACCAGTATCACGTGACTTTAAAATGGTATTTGTCGGACTATACCTACCGTGATTATATAATCGGAGATTCTACTAACCTGGAAAAAGAGGAATAGGTGAAGTAGAATTCGAGGAAGGGAAATGATTGGTAGGTAACTATAGTATCTAGCTAGTATAGGTACTAATATCGAAGAATGTCTTGTAGGTATTTCGTTCTAAAGATGCACAGGGTCCATTTAAACATAAACAGTTTATGCATATCAGAACTCAGATTTTCTTAAAAATACAAGAAAAGTCAAAATTATTCCCCTGATTCAAGTACCCTCGTTGAAACACTCTAAAGGGTTATTGGTTACCTATAAATGGACCACCTACTTAACTCGTGTATTTTTATTAGTAGTAATCAGAAAAAAAATTAGAGATGAAAGTTGGTTTGCCTATAGCATCTAAAGTACTCGTACAATTTATACAGGATGATCCAATTTTTAAGTGCTAGTGTGCGTGTGAAAAGTTTCAAATTTTAAAAGGCAACCACCCTGAATATGTGTGTTAGTTCTGATTCAAAAGTTTGTTGGGTCTATATCTTATTTAGTTTTTTTACTTATTACCTACGTGATATTTTCCCGTGAGTAGTACAGGCATATAAGAGACCATGCGTTGCTACAACGCTATTTCGAAGGTATGCGATGGTCAATTCATAACTCAATAACCCTCTACCTAAAGATACCTACTAAGTATTTCAGCTTTTATGCAATTTTTGCAGAAAATCAAAATGTGACATACCTACGTAGGAATAATCTCTGCAAATTTCCTTATTTTCGTACCAAATCTATGAGCAGTTAGGTACAGTTTAGCTTTTTCAAATTGACACTTTCCGTATGAGGAGCGAGGGGTGGAAGAATCTAGCAAAATAGGTGTGAGGTCGGGTGACCATAGGCGTGCTAACGTAGGAAGCAACCGACTTACGTTCCTTTGGAGTACCTATCAGATTATAAAAGTAGGACTGTACCTATTGGTTAACATCCTTATCCTTGTTAAATTATTAAGACTTCGCAACATAATGGGTAGGTATAAGGTAAATGAAAGAAAAGTTACAAGTAACTTTGATAATATGTTGGTTATTGCCTCAGATATAAAACCTAAAATAGGAAAACTATAACCTACCTTGCAGACAACCAAAGCACAACTATATACAAAATACTCAGTCAAACTTCACTTTATCACTCCAAAAAAGTTAACCACAAAAATAACAGTTTTCAGTTAGTTCCAAAAAATAAAATCACCGAACCGATTTCTAGTTTATCACGTTTTATCACTGCAAAAAAAAATCAAAAAATATTCTCTCGTAAAAAGCACCCGGTGTATTAAGGGCCCAATCTCACCGATGACATGGCCCCGTGGATGACACCTGACTAAAACTCTGGTTAATAAAATCCAGGTATAAAGTTATGTGGTGCCCCTACCTTCGAGTCCTTGTCTTTTGCAGGTATACCACGTGCAGGCAACGCCGCCCTTATTCAGTCGCCATTGGTCAATAATAAACCCAAAGGCGTAGCCTTTGTATAAATGCGCACTGGCATTGGTCCAATTCTCTTGGTCTATTGTTGGGGAAACTTAATGATATCTTTAATTGATTCGGTAATAATTTTTTTTTTATCTCCAAGATAGGTGTCAAAGCCCATCAAGCATTTATGAATTATTGTGCACTTTCGAGTATAAGGGGAAATTGGGTAAAGTGTCGCCTTGATGGGACTTGTTTTTCATTTTTTGATTAATTGTTTTATGTTGATGACAAAATATCGTTGTAGCTTGGTTTTGTTGATTATGGAGAGGTTGGTTTAATGAAATGACAATAATGATGGTTTTATTTTTTATTTTATAAGTTTTTTGTTTTGATCATAGTTTATAGATAATGTATCATATCAATACAACTAATTTAAGATTTTTTGTTACATAGAATAAACTCAAATATTAAAACTTTGAATTTGGCGCCGTATCTAAATTTGTTGGTACTACAGTTGGCAATGTTGCTTGACATCTGACATTGGTGACATCCGTGATAAGTCAATACTAGATGTAAGTACGCTTCTGTCATAGTTTTGGCTGTATCGGCCTCTTCTCCTATGGTTATGGCGGAATGAAGACGCGTTCATGTGCCTGGTGGGTTGAAGTAATAAGAACCTTATTATACAAGTAGTGTTGCTTGATTTTACCGTGACAACCAAAAAGTAGTTCTCCTTCCCCATTTCATTATTTACTACAGCTTAGGTGTAGCCATTTAATGGCGGTTTAAGGTTTCGCTAGGTACTGAATTGCCTAATTGATCCATTAATTATGGGTATAGTATTTTTCGCAATAATTGATTAATGACTGCAATAAAACTACTCATTGTATTCCCATTGTGTTCATAACCCAGCTCTTTCAAAACGTCTATCAGGTAGTTAAAAGGAGCTGTCAACCATTTATTGTGGAATTTAAGCTTTCGGCCAAATATAACCAGGAAACCAGGGTTGTGGTTTCGCGGTCCAAAAGCAATCAAATTTCTCTGACTCCTAGAAAAGTGGACCTCGGTTTTCTAAACTCTGGTTAACCAAATGTCAAAATAGTTACCGGCCATCGGGCCATCGGATGTCGGTTCTGTTGGTTTTATCTGTAATTTGTTAATTTTTTTAAATTTTAAATTCGCGTTCCCCAAGTAACCGAAATTTTCAGTAACCACCTGTCAACCGATTCGGTTACTCACTTTGGTTAACGTTTGGTTATATTCGGACCATAGCCTTCCCAAGTAGCACATACATGTCCCTGCGACTTCGTATTAACCAAATACAACGTCGCCAGAAGTGCAGATACAGTGCAGATAAGTGTCCGTCAATGATTTTTCGTTAGAATTACGTCGTGCCGTCGTCCTTAAGATGTGGTCAAGAAATCGGACCTTTATCTAGCTTAATTTTTACGTAATAGGTAAATGAAAACCAGTCTTAACGTTAAATTGATAACGTCAATCCGTCGTCCTCTTGTATACTTGTGACCTCTGAAACGTTTTTTAAATGTCGTCTAATACGACCAATCATAAGGTAAGATAAAAATCATAAAATGGACGTCATAATATTGTATCAAATTCAACGTTGCATTGAAAACGTCAATCCGTCGTTATCTTCATATCCTGTGACCTCCGAAACATTTTAAAAACGTCGTCTGACACGACCAATCATAAGGTCAGATAGAGGTCTTAGAAAAACGGCCGGCCAACGTTGAAATTGGACAAAGGTAAATTTTGGTGTAGCATTTCATAGTTTTTGCTTCGTTCGTTAATAACCTGTCATCGGTCAAATAAAAACATAAACAAACAATAGATATGGCGTTACTATAAAAAGTTTTCAACCATTTATTTGAATAAGTACCTATTTGCTTTTGTATTTTTGATATGATATGGGACAAAACGGGAGCTTCAAATACTCATCCACATATTACAGAAGGAGAATTTTTCAAAAAATAAATTTCAGGTTAAAAGAAAATATTTCAAGATTTTGAACAACATTGAAAATAAAACATTTATAGTTTCCTGAAAAATTTCAAATAAATGAGAACGTTGAAGCACCTAAAGAACTGGTTACGATAGGTTACCATATGGGACCTATAGTCACTCTTGGTTTATTTGTTTGTACTATTTTATTACCTATGGTCGTATGTTTATATAGATTAAGTCCATTTTCATGACGAAAACACGCATTAGGTTAGGCCAAGGTGCAGATTATTAACTCGACCATTTTATATATCACAAGGTCCTATCTAATCATCCGCCATTGCTGCACGTTTAATAAAAATAAAATAATATCTAAAAAATCAATCCTTAATAAGGAAATTTTGACAAAATTATTTATTTTTGTGTAAATCGGACTTACCCAAAGATGTTCTTGTCCCATCGGAACTATATAAGAATTTATGTAAATTACAGATTTATTTTTTTTTTTGGAAAATATTAACAAAATAGGAGCCCGTTTTTTTTTATGTGCATATCATAATTATATTTGACAGAAAAGTTGACTTCGTTTGAAATTTTTGTGCCTACAGGAGCTAAATATTTAGTTTCACGTATTTTATTGTTGACAAGGCCAGGCGCCATTATTATTTTATGTCCCCCAATATTCTTATAGGTACTTATTCATTTTGTTTTTAGTGTGATGAGTTGGGAAATAAAATAACACCAATAATAAACCAAAAGTGCGAATTTGGTGCAATATATTAAACCTGGAAAGTCCTTTATATGGTTTGGTATTTGTTTTTAGGTTAGTCATGGTTTACGACGTTTATTAAACGTTCAAATCTGGTTGTGTATGCTGACGTATAAGTTAAAAATTAGTAAAGCCTCGCGACTTGCGATGTCATTACAACCCTGAAATGATTCTCCATTTTGGTGAAAATATGGGTTGAATAGTCGTCTACTTGACGTCGCGCCTTAACGTCAAGACATCGATGACGACGTTGTTACGACGTAAAAGCGCTGCTTGGGTTACCTATACTTAGTCTGGCTAGCCAAACGGCGAACTCCAAAAGAATTTGCTGCTTTGCCAAACTTGACGGAAACAATGATTAATTAGTTGGTGACATATTTTTTTTTGCTGTATGGGCATGTGTAGTATTTCGAAATAGAAAAAAATCCGGCAACATTGCAAAATGATGGATGTGGAGAGGCGTGATTATTCAGAGGCATGATTCTATTGGTTAGAGTGAACGACAGCACGCAGTGGCGTGGTTATTGGCGAAACTAGAGAATTTTTTTCTAATAATTTTATTGATTTATTTCCTTGGTGTTTCCGGTGCCACTGAACCGCAAGACATGGCTGTCATCAGGCGGTGTCAGTTGAGGTGTCAGTGGATATTTTTAGGTTACGCCCCAGTTTTCTTCCCCCTTTCGTCTCTACCAAGTTACCACTTGCCAAACTATACTATACCTACTTATACTTATTATACCTAGGTGCCTACCTTTTTACCTTCAAACTGTCTCTTTGACAAAGTCAACGTAGAACAGATTTACACTCTATTTTTTCCCAAGATAGATTTTGACATTGTCAACTTTGAAACATAAACAATACCGCTTAACCCTGATTGGTCGCAAAATGAGGTGTCCCTGCAGGTTGACATCAGTTTTACAATGCAACTCGTGCAAATGGCATCTTTCAACCAATAAGCGGCATTGTTTATGTTTCAAAGTTGATAATGTCAGATTCTATCTTGGGAAAAAATAGACTGTAGATATGGATATTTTTTTTTTCTAGTTTGTACCTATACCAAATAAACAAGACAATTTTTTACAACTTTTGTTAAATTTTCCAAACACAATAAGCTTGAGTTGAGGATATAGTAAATAGGTATTTTAGGCAGGTATAGCAAAATCTTCTTTAATAAGTCCACTGTTCATACCACCCATTAGGTAATGTTCGCTACTGGCTACTGATGAACAATGGTTTCGCGATGGCGATTAATTCAATCCCAATTCAGTGGATAATAAAATTGTGGATGATCCGGACAAAATAACTTGATAATACATCAGACTATATTGTTTATAGAAAATTGTTTATAAAAACCTCAAGACACACCGACGAGATCATTATTACAAAGACAAAAACCTTCTGCAGCATGACAAGCCAATAAGTTGTCAAAAGAGCAGTAGGTATGACATATGAACGACGCAGTTGACGTGTAGGGTGTAGGTATACTGACGTGAATATAGTCACAAGTCACAAGTTTTAACATTTTGGCACTTGGCTAATTATTTAATAACATCTCAACATACTCCGTCTTATTTACTTATTTCAACTTTCAAATTAATTCTCAGTCATCTCCATAAGTATTCAATTTGGGATAATTTGGAAACAGCTTCATCCTCAGTTTTGAGGTGAAAATATAGGTAGACATCTACTGCGTTCGAAAATGTGAGAATAAGTCGCCCTTAAATGAAAGAAAATATTTCTTTATTTGGTTCCTCCTAAAACTAAAAGATCTGACATTCATTTCACATAAGACGACTTACTGATAGTAAATCTAAAAGTTTCTCAGCAATTTTAGGATTTTTCAAGTGACTAATTTTATGTTGCTTTCTATAAACAAATCCTGTTGAAATGTAATCATTTCAAGTCTTCAACATACCTATACCTATACTTAATTTCACTTTTTTTAAAGATATTCCTGATATACCTATACTTGATATTTTGATGACCTATATAGTCTTTCGCATATGCCAAATTTTGATCGAAACATTCATTTTGACATTTTTTAGATTTTTCACGTCACATTTTATAGATACAAATTTCTATTCCTTTCACCTTTCACCAATAGACCTATCTATTTTTACTTGTATGCGCGCGCAACACGAGGCAATGCATTTTTATTGGCTAACT